AAAAAAATTACAAAGTTCCATCCTTTACATTAGATTTTTTTTTTTTAAAAAAAAAACGAGAGTTAAAGGAATACTATATGGTATTGTGCTCCATACACTCCAAATAAATATATTTTTAGCATCAGATTGTGGTAAGTTACTCCATTCACTCCTTCATATATTTCATAAATTCACCTTACTTAGCTTTATACTTATGATTTAGTGGAGCTCGTATTATTATTATTTTTTTTTAAAATAAAAATAGCGAGAGTAAATATTAGTAAAATAAGAAAATATTAATAATATTTTCATGTTCCGAGTTCGAGTGTTATGTCGAGGCTCGATAAGCTAATCTAGCATTTGCAATAAGCGCATTTGGGATAGCACGAGAAGAGAATGTATAAATTTTTATTATCATTTTAGTATTTTAGAATGTTCTTAGTATTTTTCTAAGTTCAATAACTCCAGTTTAAATATACCGATTAAATTTCGAATTTAAGTTTTTTTCCGAGTCAAAACAGTCCAGTTTAAATACATTAGTTTTATGTCCGGATAAGTTAGCAGTTAAAAATCGAGCATCCTAGAATTTTATTAAGTATATGAGCATAGTGCATAGTATATTTGTTTATATTTTTATGTAGCTTGCAGATACAGCTACAAGTACAACACTTACGATTTTCAAAAGTTTCCAATCAGAAAATGTGGGGGTCATGTACTGGATTCTACATCATATATAATATTTGTACCATGCCAGAGGTATGTTTAAGACAGTTAGTTTCTCCCAGGTGGAGGCCGAGGGCCTTAATATTTCATCTTGGGACCCGGTGGAGGCCAAGGGCCTTAATATCCCATCGGGGTGTGCACACGAGCGGCCGAAGGCCGAGGGTCTTTTGATCATAGTAAAGCAAGAAAAGAAAATAAAAGAAAAGAAAAGCAAGATTCAGTTTCAGCTCTTATATATTTATGTTCATGATATTATTATTATTATTATTATTATTATTATTATTATTATTATTATTATTATTATTATTATTATTATTACGGAATCAAAATGATTACAAGAAATTGGAGGGGAGCCGAGATACTATCTGGGCCCCCACTCCTTTTGCAATGGAAAAGCTAATACGAGTGAAAATATGAGGAGCGGCACGTGCCCCTGCATCCTGAGATACAGAATACTTCTGTATCCTCTTGAGTAGGCCAATGGCCTCCGTGTGCAACTCCCTTAAAGAAGAGAAAGAGAATGGAAGAAATCCATAGCCCTTAGTTGCACACAAGGCGTCATATTTCGCACGTTTGCGCTGAGCGGCATCAACCACAACACGTCCCGGAACGAAGTCAGACATCCCGAACTGGGTCAAGAGCGAGGAACCAGTCAAATCAACGCAAACGTCAAGCCCCCTATCCCATGAGTAAAGTAGTAAGTCAGCAGGGCGAAGTGGTCTATCTTGCGCATCGAGGAGCCCAATATCGACCTCCTTACCAACAGAGATCCCGGAGCGAAAGCAGACATCTGAAAGAGTATCGCGAACAAGGTTATGGCGATGTTTAATGCCAACAACACCGGCACATGACACCGCATGGTCACCAAATATATCCCCGTCAAAGACCCGAGAGCAAGCCGAACATGGTCTGGAAATGGAAAATAATGGCACACTTAACCGATAGCAGAGCACAGCACGGTAGGTCTTACCATTCATCGTTTGCCCTAACCCAGAAATCGGGACTGCGCGGAGCCAATCTGATGCGTGATCACCCTGTTGTGACTTCCACAAGGCCACCTGCCTAGGAGATAAGGAGAATACAGATTCCGCCGAATCGGTAACTCAAGTGAAATATATATCTGCCAATTTCTTCATGAATTTGGGGGCAGCAATCTCACTAGAAACACTAAATAAGTCAGTATCTGCAACCCTGTTAAACATCTCCAAAGCATCACCAAAGGTAATGCCCGCATCAGCGATCCCAGAAGGAAGAAGAAGCTTATCCTGTAACCCTGCAGAC